TGTACAGTATTTGAAAAATAATGTGTTTTTTGAACATTAAAGCATGTCAACATATTCTGTTACACCAAATACACAAAATAATGATCTCTAAAATAGCATCATATGACCCCTTTAAGGATCGATCCGCCCATCCCTACTGCCAGGATTTGCGCTGCTCTCTCTCAACCAGCTGACTATAGATTTCCATCGCAGTGAGCACCCTATGCCCTACTCCCTCTGAAGAGATCAGCACTATGCCCTACTCCCTCTGAAGAGATCAGCACTATGCCCTACTCCCTCTGAAGAGAGCAGCATCTGATGCGGGAACTCTGGAGGGGTGGCGTTTGCAGATTGAAGCATTTGGGAAGGAGCAATCACAGACAACGTAATTTTCTCATTTTCACTTTCCATTGTCTGGCGTCCCCTTCCCACAGCATCCTTTAGGGGCGCAAAAACGCCGTTTGGCATCCCCCCGAAACTACACTGAGAGCAGGAAAAAAGTGACGCACTCACTGGGCTATTTACACGGCCGCGTATTTTTGTGGTAAGTGCAGAACATATTCTTCGTGCAGTCATGTAGTGCTATAAAAATGAGCTGCTATTTAGGGTTGATTCTTTCTTATATGGGATTTCAGCTCCGGAATCATTTCGAGAAACATTTTTTTAATGTGGCATACTGTAGGCTATGTGATATTGAAGGACAAAATGCAGCACTACCTTTATACAATTGCATAACGTTAGGCTTACTATGTGCAGGGAATCTGATACGCATCTGAATGCATCGAGCTAAATAACACGTTAATAATTTTCCTCTCAGAGCCCCAAAAGCGCGTAAGAAGACAGCGATAACGGAGAACGACATACATACATAACTTACACCTTACTGGTGATGCATACTGCATAGGTCTATTTTATAAAGACAAGCAGTCACTGTCGTGCATTTCAGTGGAGTAAAGCGCTGCGATTTATCTCATTGAGTTCAGATATTTCTCTACAAGGCCAATTTTAATTTACAGAATAAGAAACGATGCTAATAAACCACTGGTTGTTGATTCTGTTACATAAACGCGAAATAATTAAATGCGTGCTGTTTAACTGTGTAGTGTACCCATTGTTTGTGAATTCGACAAAGCTGAAAAGCAATGTACTACACATCTGTAGGCCTATCCAAATTATGGTACAGTATTACATAGTAACAAAAAAAGAGAAAGACCGACCAAACACAGCATAGATGCTAAAGACTGTAGGGCAGTGTAATGAAAACGCCCACAGAGGTGCTATAACAACAGTCTGATTTTCAAATTATATATATATTTTTTAGTTCTTTTTATCTTTATTTTAGCTTTTAAACTATGTTTCCAACACTCTTTGACAGATGAGAGGACGTGCCACCACAATGAGACTCTATGAAGAGACAGCAGATTAGGACATTTCCTCTAAAATGAGTCAACAAGAGGAGAGAGAGGAGGACACTGCCTCTATAAACTGTGATCAACCCATGAAGAGTCAGCCCTCTGCCTTCAGTGACGCAGAAATTACCTCTGAGCCCAAGTAAGACGTTAACCATTTTAGCATTTGGCAGACATTTTTATTCAAGTGTCTTAGCAACATAGATCTAATTCTTAGCCTGATGATACATGGGGCAACTTCTTTTCATTCAATTCAATTCAGTGCAATATTGCTAAATGATGTTTTGGGCACTTTCCTGTTGAGAATGGGCAACATATTTCTATCTGGATACTTTGGATCAGTCGTGGGGCCTGTGTCTCACCTGGTTGCCCATTGATGGCAATATTGCCCAGCGACATTGCTTAAAAAGTTGCCCCGTGTATCATCAGCCTTACATTCATCTCTAGTCTAGCTTGTTTTCCTCAAAATAATCTTGGAACTTTGTTCTATAACACTTTGCTACTGCTTGCTTAGAATAAATCACTTTGTTGTATTCCTCAATTCTAAATTTGAATAAAAACATCTGATAAATGAATAAATGTCAATCAAAGGTATTATAGACCAGCTATAGACAGCAGCCAGTGCTTGAGACGAGAGATTGAGAAACAGCAGATTCACAGCAGGTTGGTCTAAAATGGCATTGCATTTGTCTAGTGTCAGTATCAGCAGGAAGAAAAGACAGAGATCAGAGACTCCAGAACCCAGCGGTGTGTCTGTGAAGAGTAACACATCCATGAGGCACTTTTACATTTGTCACTAGCCACTTTCACATTTGTCAGATGCTTTTATCCAAAGCCTAAAGTGTGCTTTATTTTTGACCCAAATGGATGTTTATGCATATAGCCTTGCAACGTAACTCCTAAACTTCATGCCAAGTTAATAAATGTAAATTTAATTTTGTAGTATTCAACTATATAGTATGTTTATGTAAAATTAAAGGAGTAGTTCACTTTCAGAATGAAAATTCTGTCATAATTTACTCACCCTCCACTTGTTCCAAACCTGTATGAGCTTCATTCTTCTGTTGAACACAAAAGAAGATGTTTTGAAAAATGCTGGAATCTGAACAGTTGATGAGCACCATTGACTTCCAGAGTATTTTTTTTTCCCTATGGAAGTCAATGGTGCTCATCAACTGTTCGGATCCCAACATTTTTCAAAACATCTTCTTTTGTGTTCAACAGAAGGAAGAAACTCATACAGGTTTGGAACAAGTGGAGGGTGAGTAAATGATTACATAATTTTTATTCTGAAAGTGAACTACTCCTTTAAGTTTTGTTTGTCGTTTATCAGCATCACAAGGAGGAAGAGACAGAGATCAGAGTCTCCAGAACTCAGTGGTGTGTCTGTGAAGAGTGACAGGTCTATGGAGAAACCCCCTATATTCAGTGATTCAGCAGTGACCTCTGGCTCTCCGTTAGTATAAACATTTACTTGCTACTTTATATTGTGCATCTCAGATGAATAATGATCTAATTAATAAAAAATAAAAAAACAGTAAATTGCACATTAAAATATGCACTTACATTTATGCAATTAGCAGATGCTTTTATCCAAAGTGACTTACAGTGCATTCAAGCTATACATTTCTTTTTTTTTAACCAGTATATGTGTTCCCTGGGAATTGAACCCACAACCTTTTGTGCTGCTAATGCAATGCTCTACCACTGAGCCACAGGAACACAACAATAATAATACACTCTAAAAAATGCTGGGTTAAATACAACCCAGTGCTGGGTAAAATAGGGACAAACCCAGCAATCGGGATGTTTTGACCCAGCGGTTGGGTTAAATGTTTAACCCAACCTTCTGGGTAGTAACCCCACCGCTGGGTCAAAACAACCCAATTGCTGGGTTTGTCCCTATTTTACCCAGCACCGGGTTGTATTTAACCCAGCATTTTTTAGAGTGTAATAACAATAATCATATTAAAAATTCTGAACCCTGCCTCAGCTTATTGTAATTATAGATTTTACTCAATTAATGAACATACTCATCTTGCATTACCCATACTGCATTTTCATATCTCAGGGTGGAGTACATTTCAGGTGGTCTCTAAGTATCATTGATCTAATGCAAAATGCATGGCACAGATGCAATCAGCTCATCTTCTACATCCCACTTTCAGACCCACATCAGACAGGAAATAACTGAAGCAATCCTACAGAAACACACACTGGAGACTGGAGACCTGCAGAGAGTCAAAAACCAGCACAAAACCAGCATGAAGAACAAGTGTGAGAGATTATTTGAGGGAATTACACTTCAAGAGAATGAAAGCCTCCTGAACAGGATCTACACACAGCTCTACATCATAGAGGGAGAGAGTGAAGGAGTGAATGAAGAACATGAGGTTTTACAGATGGAGAAAACAGCCAGAACACAACACTCACAAGACACTCCAATTTACTGCAATGACATCTTTAAAGCCTCACCTGAAGCAGGATGTGAAAAGAAAGACCAGATCAAGACTGTTCTTACTAAAGGCATTGCTGGAATCGGAAAAACCGTCTCTGTGCAGAAGTTCATTCTGGACTGGGCCGAGGGAAACGCCAATCAGGATGTAGATTTCATGTTTGTGCTTCCATTTCGAGAGCTGAACTTGATCCGAGATCATCAGTACAGTCTGTCTTCTGCTGGATCTCATCCACTGTGCTTCAGAAGCTCCTGGAAGAAGATCTGAGTGCAGAAATCCCTCAAACTCTGACTGAAATGTACATCCACTTCCTGCTGATTCAGATCAACATGAGGAACCAGAAGTATGAAGAGAGAGATCCAGAGAAACTCCTGCAGTCCAACAGAGAATTGATTGTGAAACTTGCTGAAGTGGCTTTCAATCAGCTGATGAAGGGCAATGCGATGTTCTATGAGGAGGACCTGATTGAGAGCGGCATAGACATCACTGACGCCTCAGTGTATTCTGGGATTTGCACTGAGATCTTTAAGCAGGAATCTGTGATTCATCAGAAGAAAGTCTACAGCTTCATTCATCTGAGTGTTCAGGAGTTTCTCGCTGCTTTCTATGTGTTTTACTTTCATGTGAGTACAACTATGCAGGGACTGAGGAATTTTGCTTTAGTACAACATTTGCTCAAAGTTGCAGTAGAGCAAGCCCTTGAGAGTAAGAATGGCCAGCTGGATCTGTTCCTGCGGTTCCTGCTGGGCGTCTCACTAGAGTCCAATCAGAGACTCTTACAGGATCTACTGACACACACAGAGAATAGCTCAGAGAGCATCAGGAGAACCACACAGTACATTAAAGAGAAGATCAAAGATGGACATGGACTCTCCACTGAAAGATCCATCAATCTGTTCCTCTGTCTGCTGGAAGTGAAAGATCAGACTCTGTTCAGAGAGATTCAGGAGTTTGTGAAATCAGACAAACACTCAGAGAAGAAACTCTCTCCGGCTCACTGCTCAACAATCGCCTACATGCTTCAGATGTCAGAGGAGCCGCTGGATGAGCTGGACCTCAAGAAATACAACACATCAGATGAGGGGAGAAGAAGACTGATACCAGCTGTGATCAACTGCAGAAAAGCACTGTGAGTGTTAAATTATTCTGTTACAAAAAAAAAATTTAAAAAATCATAAATGTTTCTACAGAGTGATGTCCAACATTAGTCAAGCTACTTTAAATTTAGCCAGAAAAGCTACAACCTTACTCGAAAGAAACTTTACCTCAACTAAGCAGGAAAGTATTGTTCAATTTAGGGCTACAACTAATTCTTTTTTACAGTTAATATATCAATGATTTTCCAATTGTTATTTTGATGTTATCCTTTTTAAATAGCATTGTGAATATTAAAGTGATATACTTTTTTTTACACATTTGTAGGATTTCTACGTTACCTACTTAATGATGAAACTTATGGATATATACATTTTCAAAATTATTCTAATAAAGAAAAGTTATATAAAAATAGTTTACTCCCTTTCAGTTTTCCTGGCTGTAATCTCACTGCTCAGGACTGTGAAGTTGTGTCATCAGCTCTACAATCCTCAAACTCTGTCCTGAGAGAGCTGGATCTGAGTAACAATGACCTGCAGGATTCAGGAGTGAAGCTGCTCTCTGATGGACTGAAGAGTCCAAACTGTCAGCTGGAGATACTGAGGTGTGAAAGAAGGATGATGTACCGTCAGTCGGTCATAATGTTGATATGTGTCTGTAGACGATCTGTCTGTGTGTCTGTGGATGATCTGTCTGTGTGTGTGTAGGTTGTCAGGCTGTATGGTGACAGAGGAAGGCTGTGGTTATTTGTCTTCAGCTCTGAGTTCAAACCCCTCACACCTGAGAGAGCTGGATCTGAGCTACAATCACCCAGGACCATCAGGAGTCCAGCTGCTCAAACTCAAACTGGAGGATCCCAACTGCTCACTGCAGATACTCAAGTATGTGGGACAGTATTTTATTTAATTTTTTTTAAATTTTACACTATATAATAATACTGGTAATGCTGTTTAATATCAGTTGAGCAATATAAAGTCAACAGCTGTCGGTTGTGCATCATGCCTACCAGCATGTTTTTAATGGTATTAATCAATGAACAAAACCGCTCTTTATCTTGCAGAACCAAATCAATAGTGTTGCACTTGAGAATAGTTTTTAAGGTAGTTGAAGAAGTTGCAACATTTCTACAATGGATTTAATCTTTAGTCTCAATGGCTTCTGTCTGAATGGTTACATTGTTTGCAAAGGGACTGTTTGGAAATCAAAAACAGATTTTTACAGTTGAGGTTATGAGTTTACGTTCACATTACTGTATCTGCAAAAGGATAATAGAATAAGAAGACTCATAAAAATTACATTTTTATTTTTTTAATACTGTCCTAATTGAGTTTACACAAGTGACACAGTTTAAACCTTTACGTATGATATACTGTGCATTGTTACTTGGATGATCTTGTGTTTTGTAATAATTACTCATGAGTTAAACTGCCCAGTTTTCTTCAGGAAATTTCTCCAGACTCTGCAAATTCTTTAGTTTTTCAATATCATCTGCATTTTTGAACCCTTTCCAACAGTGGCTATAAGATTTTGAGATCTGGCTTTTTGGGTTTAATATTCTCTTGCTGTGTTCTGGATCCAATTGGTTTTGATTAGGGATGCGCCGATCCGATATTCATATCGGGTATTGGCTCCGATAGTGCCATTTTTTCTCAGATCGGGTATCGGTCAGAGAGAGCCGATCCAAATCCGAGATTTTTTTCTTTTTTTTTTTTTCTTCGATTGTGCGAATTATTCTGTGTTACTTCTGAAGCCATAAGATAGCTTAATGTGAGCTACATATGAATATTTAAGTCCTTACATTAAAGTTCACACAAACTCTTTTCTCCGCTGTGGCTTTCAGTTATTCGTTCAGCCTTTAAACCCTGGTCACATTCGGTTACAGCAGTCAGCTCGGTAAAGCTCTCTCCAAGATCATTCTGTGTTCCCATTATACTTGATTTGTAAATACATTTCTATGATTTTGCAAAAAGGACTTTTATCTTCTTGCCGGAGTTTAATGTTTTGTTACTTGCTACCGGGTGTCTGTGAGAACAAAACACGGGTGTAGAAAATAATATAAATAGTTTTTAACGTGCACAGTAACTGAAGTTTAAAACTGTTAAAAGAAAGGCTCAATAACTGTTGCACAGATATAATACACTACGCATCAATTTCTCTTCCCTTTGTGCTTTGCAGTTTTTAA